TGCCATCTTATACAAACTTTTCGAAGTAATAGAAAAGTAGGGAACATGTCCCAATCTGTTTTACAAGGCTTGCATAACACTGATACCTGACAAAGCTGTCAGAGAAAGGACAATTACAGGCCACTTTCTCTCATGAATTTAGATGCAGAAGTTTGAGGTCAGGGATGTATTAAAAAGTCCAGTCTCATGGGCTCCATCTCACATCTATTGAATCATAATCTCTGAGCATGGAGTCCAGTGAGAGATGAGTTTTCATAATTCTAGGTAATTCTGATACAGTTTAAAGACAAGCATTTGTAAATGTTTTTCAAACTTTCTAGGTAACTGAGATAAGGGAACTAATGAATAGACTATTAATATGCAACATAGACGTCGTTTCTTTTTAAAATACAAATTGAAAAAATGAATTTGTGAAATAGTATTTGTTTCCAAATTTGGGGGAGATATAGTGGAAATTCTTGGGACATATGCCCAGCCCATAAACCTGTTCCCCTCTCAACTTCTTTGGGAACATCCTATGCCCATCTGCTGGGGTGCCCCTAAGAGCCGTATTTTTCTACAGGCCAAAGAACAGTATTTTCCACTAGTAGCCAGGGATCCCTGCTCTTGACAGCACTTGATCCCTAACAAATCAGTTCACAACCCTGCATCTCATCAATTACTTTAGAGAGTATTAAGTCTGTTAGCAAGGATGCACAGAAGAAAGAAAAGTCAATGCTTCACATTTAAATTACTAAATAATTTTTAAAACATATAGAATAAATAATAGCTTGAAAGTCAACATTTTTACTGCAATAGTTGGATATTTTGAAATAGAAAAGAGCGCTTTGAGTTGTTTTGTTTGGTTCAGTTTCTAAATGCTAAGAGCCTAAAGGACTTAAGAACATAACTTTTGATCATAAACAGTATAGGAAAGAATAAACCATGGCCTATGAGTCCATTTCCATGCATCTAAAGAGGAGGAGCTTTGGAGAAGCAAAGAGAAGAGCTGTATAGAATATGACCTGTAAGGGTTTTGGAGAAGCGAAGCATCACTCTCCATCCCTCCCTGTGATGAGCTACAGATTGATTAGGGAATCCCAGAGAAACTGGTACTCATTTTCAGCTTCCTGGGGAAGACGGCAAGCCGCTCTGAGAACCCCTGGGTGTCTAAAAGGCAGATAAGGAAGTGAGGTAGGGAGTGGGGGACATGGTGTTACTGCATCCAGGCCAAGGGCACCTGATGTAGCCCAACCTCCTAAGGAAGGCTCCTGCAGTTCTAGGGTTATGGGACAAAATTGAAAATTGTTCTGTGCCATTGAGACAGATGGAGAAATACCTGAATAAGGGCCCGTAGACCAGAGGGATATACAGAAAGGAAAAGCCATGCTGTTAGCTAACATTACACAGATCATGTGAGCCAGATTTTATAGTAGGAGATTTCAGCAGTGAAAATCAGAGAAAGGGCAATGTCTCAAAAGCTGATGAGAAATACATGTCAGTAGATGTCAGCAGAGGCGAGAACTTGATCAAGCACCAAAGGTCCCCTCTCTCCAATACACAGACTATAACCCCTCCACCCATCCACACCCCCTCTCCAACCTTAAAGAAAATTCCCAGAGGGAGGAATATGGACAGATTATAAATCACTGGATTGCAAGTGATCAGGTTAAATTAAATCAAACTTTTACGCTGACATTCAAAATCTTGCAGAAATCTGCCTCCAACCTGCCTTACCAACTATGTCCCTGAAACAACCACACACAGACTCTCTAGTCAAGCTGTTCTTTCCTCCACAAACTTGCCTGGGTGTTTTTACTTCTCCATATTTGCTGATGACATTTTTCCTGAGCTCCCCAAACCTCTTGAAATGCCTTATTTACGTCACTGACTCCTAACACATTGCCTAATACGGTCAGCGAATGCTTCTGAGTGAACTAATGAACTGAATGAGAATGAGATGACGAGGGAAAGGAATGAATGACTAGAATGTCCTTCTTAGAATTATCTCCCTGTCTGAAATTTATCTTTCTAGGAACAGATAGCACCTCATTTTTTTTTTTTCTGAGAGAGAGTTAGGGCTGATTTCTGCCACATATTGTGCTAACTCATATTATCAACCATTGCTATTTTATCATGTGTCATCTTGTGTTATTCCACAACTATATAGGTTTGTATGTGCATATGTATAGATGCATAATCACCTCCAACAGCGTAATCCTTTTGAGACAAACATTGTACTTTTGGTGAGAACTGAATTAAGTGAATAAATGCAAACTCCTGCAACCGTATCTTCCCCCAACGTTTCATAATGCTAGCCATAGGGAAAAAAATGCAAAGTAAGACAGTGAAACAACGAAAACTACATCTTCTACAGGACTCTCAAGTACTAAGAGAATAACTGAGTTCAGTATTTGTCTCCTATTGCCTTAGAGGAGGACACGGCAAATTTTAACGGGCCATGTTTCCTGCAGCTTTTATGGGAATGTTTATAGAGAAAGGAAGTGCATTAAAGAAAGCAAAAATAGAGAGTGGAAGGTGATAGTCTGCATCTGTGTTGTCACTTTCAGGCCAACTTTGTTGCCAACCCTTGCACTTAAATGCTTGCACACCTTTAGGAAGTTTTAGTCGGTGATAGCTATGAAAATGCAAGCTATTGTTTTTGGTAATAACCCGATATTACTATCCCATCATTTAGCTCTCATTAAAGTAAACCAGAAAAGTCATATCGAGAAAACAACTTTTTATGTAGCTTAAAGTGCCACGTCTGAGCGATTTATATGGTTCAATGTACAAGTTTTCCTTTTCTAAGCTATTTTTCTTTATTTTCCAAATCCAATGTCCCAAGCAGATGACTGATTTGGGAAGCAATAACAATGCATTTCACTGCATTGTACAAGATTCTCAAAATAATATTTTTGAGGAGTCAGTGGTCAAAATAGACATCAATTTGGATACAAAAAAGCAATGGAAATTTAAAAGATTGACGTTTCTATTTCAGGAAATGTACATATTTTATGTGTTTATATTTTTGTTCACATTTTATACTTCATATTTTTACCCCAGAAACAATAGTCAATCTTTTATATATTTTCCTAAAATCATCAAACATTATATCTGCTCTCCATATTTCCATTCGCTTTGCTAATATTTATCAATGTAACACTCCCCTTTCTGGTTTTCATTATTTTCATTACAGTCACATAACAAGAGAAAGGAAAAACTAGTATTTGTCTTTGAAATAATAGGTTTTAATTCCCTCTTAAACACAGATTTCTATATTAAAAATATCTAAATTTTTAGAATCAATAGGTGGACTCCAACTAAACATTCTCTTATAAACTTAATATCCAGTTTATTTTAATGATTATTAACCATGTTTTAGTCAGTGAATAATGATTTGTTGTTTTAAATAAACCTGAAATTTAATTTTGAATGGCTTGAAAAAAATAGATTGACTTCTACATATTAATTTTTGCCAAAAAAAGCTACTTTACTTTTGAATAATTTATACAGATAACATTTTTATAATGATGAATTTGATTTAGACAGACTATAGGTCTTTTTCAGTGTGTATTTAGCACGTATCTTCTCTAGAAGTGAGGACAGCAAATAATATTTTAACAAGCATATAATCAGACATCCACAATTCAAAGACTTCTGTCTAGTGCTAGCTACCTAAAATAACCTATTACCAAAGCCTTTCTTTACAACGTACTAGAACAATCTATTTTCTTCTTAATTTTGTTACATAAATTTATTAGGAGCTCACCAATATCCTTCGTTTTCAGGCTTCCAGCAAACATAAATGTAGGTGAGAAAAAAAGAATGAGTTAGTTCTTTTTTTTTCTTACGCTGAATTTTTAGTATCTTTTAAAACCAAAAAATATTTGTCCCCACATTTTTCATCTAAGAAAGTACATAGGTTAAAGGACTGGAGTGAATTCTTTTCATGCAGATTTCTGTGATGGTAGACATACAGATTGCTGGGAAAAGTCGCCACTACTGCCCACTGTCTATGTGAAAGTTCCCAAAACCCCGCCTTGAATCACAGTAGAAAGTCTGAATCATTCACTGAGAGGATTAAAAACTTGTCCTGGGCATATAAACAGATCTGTTCATATATACTATTTTCTTCATTAAGATGTTTTTCTGAATTTAATTTAAATTGCCTCCTTTAATATACAAATGTCCCTGAACTCAAGAGTACATGTCAACTTCCCATGTGAGCCCTTCTTCTTTGTATCTCTAAGCCTGGAGTAACTGAGTTTTGACCTCAGCACAGTCCCACTGTCAACATCAGGGAACACTGGACTGTTAGCTGTGGCTGGACTCAGACAAAAATACTCCAAAAAATACTTCTGTATTGTTCTTTTCCCCCACCCCCGTGATAGGCCTCCACTGACTGTTACACGTGATGTTATTTCCACTTAATCTTTTCTACTAAAGTTTTCTCAAATTTCGTATTTTTCCATATTTTATTTGTTATACTCTAAAGTCATTCATTTATTTTACCTGTGTTATCGCACTTTAAATTCACTCATTTAAGTACAGATGTAATTAGGATTCACTTTGGAAATTAAAGCATATAACATTCACAACATAGGTGAAAATAGTCTCTACGGAAAATCTTGATTTCATAAAATAAAATATATAATCTACAACCTTCAAATAAATGAAAG